TGTCTAAGGGGATAATAAAAATGGGCTGCAATTATTTATTTCTCTGTGTGGAAATTTAACAGCTTATAGATTCAGTCATTCTTGTGATACACATTTTTGGTTTGAAGGTTATCAAATAAGGCTTTCCAGGTTAATGAATACAACTTTTAGTCTGTATAGCAAATTCAAACTGATCACCAAACATCAGAGACACAGAATATTAGGAATTGTTTTGATTTTATTTAAGTTGGACTTATATTTTATGGTCTTGGGTGAATGAGAATTTATGTAAATCAGGATGGAAGCCAAGAAAAAAAAGTAAGGTTTTGGGAAAGAAACCTAACCATGTTCCACCAAGAAGGCCAACTGTGGCATAAGGTCCAGTCAGATGAATGTATGCATGAAACAAAGGTCAGAAAAATGCATGTGGGAAACAGTTGGGGGAAGGTCAGCTTTTCATAAGTGCTCAATATCTGATTTTTCAAATGGTTAATGTAGAAGTATAGCAGTTCTGGAAGTACACTTCACAAATTGTAACTGTATTGTGGCTAGGTGATGGAGATAATGGAGTGATGTAGGACTTGTCTAACAAATTAAGAGCTTCGTCTGAAGTACTGCTTTTTTTGTCATCTCCTTTTCTCCCTTCATTGACTCTCATAAAAACTGAAATTGAGGCTTACTTTTTCTGTCCCTGTAGGTAAAATTTGCCAAAATGTCCTTAGGAAGGTTCTGTGAAAACATCTATCTGGGAATAACAGTGAAATTCCAATAACAAGGAGTAACAAAACCATTCACCCTTTATGCAGTTGTTTTACATGTCCTACGAGTAAATAATCATGAAATGTACAATAACACACCATTTATTTTCCTGATGCAACTTTTGGGAGTTCTGCTGTTCATAATTTTACATCATCTTACACTAATCAGTTTTTAGGTTTTTTGTACTTCTCTCTTGGTTGACTTGACAGACCTTGACAAAGAGGGAGAGACTGAAATAAGATGACAAAGATGATTAAAAGAAATATATATAATGATTCAGAAAGAAAGAACAAGATTACTCCGACTAATAGATGAAGTGACTGAGATCTTTCAGACCAGCAGTCTGTTCTGAGAACAGTTGGACAAAGCCACCAGGGGAATGCAAAATTTGATCTCATGTTATAAAAATATATACTGCTCAAAATCCCAGACCAAGGTGTAGTCATGTAATAAATTTTTATTAAAAAAAAAAGTCTTTGCCCTTTTCAGCTACTGCAAAACCAAGTGCTGAGAAGCAAGTTGCTGAAAAATATCATTTTACCCACTTTTTCTGTCCCTATCAAGCACTGATGTGCCAAGTTGACAGTCCTGATGGTCCTGCTCCCATGTAGTTATCCTCCATGTCATCCTTGTCATCTTTGAACTCCAGTGTGCCCAACCACAACTGCTGTTTCATTTAAAAACTTCTTTAAATTTCCTAACAAATTTTTTAAATTATTTTTAGGCAGTGATATTGGGATATGAATTGGATCATACATTGTTAAATACTGTCTCTCAGTATTTAACCTGTGCATAATTCTGAAGCACAAATCCCATCCACTGCCCTTGCATAATTCTTAGGGGAAAAAATTGATTTGCATCTGTAAAATCACCAACTGTGGCACTTTTCAGGAATGCATCCTCAGCAAGTATAGCATATGTTTGTGTCACAAAATCCTCCTCTGTGTATTGAGTACCACAGAAAAATGCATCTTGGCATAATTCTGCTACTTACATAGCTATATAAACTGGGGAGGTTTAGAAACCTTATAAGCTGTTACTCAGGCAAAAATGCCCTGTATACAAAAAGTGTGAACTAAAGAATTTATTCAAGTTAATAGAAGACCTTGTGTAGCTCATAAGATGTCTGTTTAAAATATCCATGAAGATACTACACAGTGATCACAATGGTATTTTAAGCTCTGACCTAGTAAAGATTAAGCATGTGTCTAACTTTGGTTACATCAGTAGTCTCATTGAGTTCAGTGGGTCTAAATGACTCTTTTAAGTTTTTGAAGCCTAAAAGTACCACTGGATAGCCATAACTGAAACTGGGAGAAGTGACAATGCCAAGGTGACATGGAAAGTTTTCTGCCTAAATCCTGGGGTGGCTGGGCTTCCCTCACCTGCAGAGATGTGAGGCATTGCTATCAGTACTGCAGTTGCTGCCCTTGGCCCTCATTTTGCAGTGTGCTGCCTGTTTTGTACAAGAAATAAAAATAAATAGATTCCATCAGAGCTGATTTCTCTCTGGGATTACCACCAGACTATCACCAGAACCCTGCTTCAAAGACACTAGAAGAGTGACAGGAATTCTAATTTCTAAATCCTTCAGCATACATTGTTAATAAATGTATCAGAGTTTTTAGCAAGTATTTTTGTAGAAGACTCCAGGATTAGAGATCAACACTGCTGGTTCACTTTAAAGATTAAAAAAAAATCAGTTGAAACAAAAGTAAAAGATTTTTTCCACAGCTTTATTGCTCCCCTTGGCTCTTAGCATTCACTGGTGTACAAGCTGACAGAGAGGGTATTGATTTTTACTACTTTGAACATTTCTTCCTAGAATAGGAGCAATAAAAAGGACTAGAAAATAAATAATAGCAATTCTTGTTTTCTCCAGCAGGGCTTTGATCTTACAAGTTTGAGCAGTAAAATAAAGGAATAGTCTATTCCATTGCACTCTGTCCTGCTTGAAAATCCACCTTTCTCCATCTTTGTTATTATTTCTCTATCTTGAAGCCACGAGAGTATGTGCCTCATGGCAGCACAGGTTTAAGTTTCCTGTATGACACCTTCACAAACTCCTATTGCACTAGAGCCCCAAAAAAAAATAAAAAACAAACAAACAAAAAAAAAACTTTCAAGAAAAGAAAAAGTCTATACAGAAAAATCTACTTCAAGTAGTTTTAACTGCTAAGGTCCAGAAGGACCTTAGAAGGGCCAGTCTTGGATCCAGTAGAGAATTTTTAGTTTTTGCTGCTAGAATATTGACTATTGTGAGGGGCTTATTCCTGTCTATTTGGTTCTGTCCATAATACCATTGTTTGTATTCAGACACTGTTTTCTATGTGAAGAATCTCTTGGCCATTGACATTTGGTTTAGATTTCTTTTCATATATTTTTAATCAAAGGAAAACGTGATCCAAAGCCAGGCAGATTGTGTTGGTCACTCTTCATGAAGCACAATAGTCTGCTTCTGCAAAGGGCATGTGCCAGAAGGGTGGCTGGATCTGGCCTTTGGTGCCAGCCCTGCTCTGCTGTTCTAGCAGAGTAAAGCTTCTTTACATGTTTTATGATTTTATCAAGCAAAATAAGCCACATAGGCCTCATTGTAAACCAAAAATTGGAACAATAGGTAAGATGAGTATGAAAGAGATCTGCATATTCTCAGCTATCTGGAGTATATTTGGTATTATCCTCTTCCTCCAAGTGATCATTACTAAGATGGACCCATTACTTTCTTTAAGAGCTTTTATCTTTGAAGTATGACTTATCAGCTGCAAAAAGAAGAAGAAAACATAAATCAAAATGCCTTAATAAACAGTACTCAAAAATAAGTTGGTGAGACTTTTTTTTTTCCCTTGTGTGTAGGCACAGAGTAAAGATTTTAATCAGTTTAAGATTCTTTTATAAGGTCACAGTGCTCAGTGTGATTAACTAGATATGAAATTTGGCAGGCAATACATTCATAATATGATCTAATAATGTTTGGTAGTGTGGGGAGGGAAAGAAAGAAATTGGCTGAGAGAAGATTGCTTAAAAGTTGGCAACCTTGCAAATACTGTGCGTTCTCTATGGAAATCTCATCAGAATGATGAGCCAGACATCTTTTCCAAGCTTGTGCAGAAATTTTCCTTTCAAAATATTTGTGCCTGAGAGATAATGGATGACTTCTATTACTGGATGGCTCCTGCAGTGCACTTTCAGGACTAACCTGAAGTATCCCCTGCTATTTCATTATTGGACCACAAACTGCTTTGCCAAAAGCCTCACTCCTCAATCCTTCCCTTTTTTTTCAGGCCTAGGGCTCATAGATCTGCTGGAATATTGTCACATAAATACAGCCAGGCCAGACAAGATTAAGTACCCTCTTTGTATAGCATTCTGCCTCCAGAAATGAGCAGATAATTCCTTATTATTTCAACAGATAAAACCAGTAAACTCATTGGGATAACCTTTCTAGCTCACAGTTCTATCTTGTTCTCTACTAATAAAGGCCAACGCAGCTCCTGAAGTGTTTTTGGTTTAGTAATTACGCTTCTTACCTCTTGCTCTCTCTTTCTGTATGTTTAATTCCTCTTTAGAATGTGTTAAGGTTTTGCTCCCAGAAGTTTGTGGTGGAACCGATCGATTATCTAACTTACTTTGTACCAAGAAAAAATTATCTAGTCAGGTTTGAACTTCCTACATTCTTTTTCATTAAATTACCCTTTGGTTCCCAAAAAAAACCAAGACAAACAGTTAAACCATACCTCTCTAACATTTTCTTGACTCACCAGGTTGGTATTTTTTGTTAAGAAAAGGCTTACCAGCTTTTTAATTGCCACCAAGAGACAAGTTTAGTATTCTTTACCCTGCTTCTCCTCTTTTCCTCTCCATCCTTTAGTTCCACAATATCCATTTGAAATGCAGTGATTGGGATGAGGTGAGCATCCCACAGGGGTCATTCCACTGATTAGATCAAAGCAATGCATCACTCTCTTGATCCTGTTCTTCTCTGTCCACACTTGCTGGTGTGCTGGAATGCAGCTGCCACTGTAGCCACCACCTCTTTGAGCAGGATCCAGCAGGGTCCAGCTCATTTGCCTGTTCTTTCTTTCAATCTCTCTGACAGTTTTGACCCATAAACTTTGTTTCTGAGCCATGTTGGTTTAAATTTATTTCTGTCCTTCTATAAGGCACCTCAGAAGAGGCTGCAGGGATGTCTGAGCCATGACAACCACCCATCCTCTACTCACTGCTTTACTCTCCTGCAAATTCATTGTTTTTTTGTCTTGCAGTGCCCCTTACTATTCTGAGCCCAGAGGTCCTCCCAGCACCAGCACAGCTGCCACAGTCCTCATCTGCTGCAGCCTCAGATGGTTCCTGCTGAACTTCTGTTTTCACATATGCAGTTCCATTATTTATGATGTGGATCTCCCATACAGCCCTATTGGTATGAGCAATCATTGTGAACATCACCTACTTTTACCACAGAAATCTTTAATCTTTTTTCTTTTTTTTTAATATGTCTTTATGCCCTTTTTTTTTTAATATGTCTTCATGCCATCCCCATAGGCTCAAATATGCAGGCACTAGGTCCCACTGTAACATCAGTATCAAGTGTCTGAAATTCTTGCACCAAAAATATTGCTTATGTTACAAATGAGAAATAATAGCACTTGTGTCAGTAAAGAATGATTCATCATTCTGTAAGGCTTTGGCAATGTGACAAAGGGAAAATATTCAGGAAAAGAGAATATTTTCCCAGTGTTGGTAAAATGTTCAATAAAATAAATATGATTTCCCTAGAGATCACGGGCAACGAACATCTAATTTCAGCCTTTACAGGAAAGTGTCACTGTTTCTTTTATTCTTTCTAACTCCACAGAATAAGGGATGTATTTATAAAAGATTAATATCGAGATAGTGGGTTTCCCAGGAAAGATATTTACCATTGCTACACTTTCTTTTGACTCTTCATAAATGTACACATGCTCTCAGTATTAATTGCCAGATAGTTATTTGGTGCAGCCTTGGGCACACACTATTCATAGAATAATGGAATCATAGAATCATAGCATCACAGTATATGCTGAGTTAGGAAACAAAAAGCAAAGGATAAGGAAAAGAAACCAACAGCTAATCCCTTATGCCAGAAATGACCACACTTCTGGAGACATATGAAAACTTTTTAAACCTCACATTTGATAGGCCAATTTAAACCAGATTATGATCTTGATATGATATTCCAGTCCATCTCCATTGAAGAAAGCATTTCAGGACCCATTCAATGTCAAACACCCTTATGAAGATAAGCATCTCTCTGAGAGGTTTCTTGACTGTGTACGCTCCACCACAGGATGGGTTTGCCTGCTTTTGGTGCAGCTGCCCAAACCAGCCAGCCACAAGAGTAGGAGCCTCTCCTTCTGGCATTTCTGCCTGGAGGGTGTTTGAGATAATATTGTTACTCTGTGACAGAGAAAGTAAAACCTTTGGATGCAAAACCTTGTGAAATACAGTGATTTACTTAAATAAAGGCAAACATAAAAAAGAAAAGTAGTGAACAAAGTAGAAAAAATGTATCTTAGTTATCTTTGACAGATATTTGAATTGAGCAATAAATGAAATTTACTTTGTTCTTCAGTAATGGTGTTTTTCTCTCTCTCTCTTTTTTCTTCATTAAAATATGGGTTGTTTGACTTTCCCTGCAGTGCACCAGGTGTTATTTCCCATTCTTCTCTGACCACTTGCTCATGAACTGTGCTTCCTTTAATATCCTCTCACAGCCATAAATATGTATAACTTTGCATTTGTGACCTTACACTGGACCCCACACATCACAGTAATTGTGCATTAACAAATGTGCTTGATGATAGCATCTCTGTGAGATAACCCCACACATCTCCTGACTGAAACAAGACACAAAAAGGAATTAAACACTTCATGGCAATTGAAGATTTAGCATTGTTGACTGTGAATATCTTTCTTATCATACTCAAGTAAGTATCCTACTGTCACACCTCATAGCAATAATGAAAGCTTTCTCACAGCTCTGAGCAAGGAGATGATGACTATATATCATTTTTTACTTGAGGGGCTGAGACAGATGGGCTGACAGATTACGCTCACAAGTGTATTTGTCAACATGGTCCAAAATTAGATGCTTAGACAATTTTTTTTGTTTGAATCTTCTTTTGTTTACTTTTAAACTGTTGTTTCTTGTAAAAGCACCAGAGCAGACTCCCACTGGCTTCCATTATTGCTGTCAGTGATCATCATTCTGGTGGTCAAATCTTTGGATGCCAAGTGAGGAATCCTGAAAAACCAAATTCAAACAGGTGAAAAGTTTAACTTAAGAAACCCAGATGAAGTGTTTGGGTTTTCTGTGCCACTCTTTAACAGAACTGTGGATTAAATCTGCTGGATTCTGCCTGTTAGAGCAGAAGGTATCCTCTCTTTCTTGTATTCCATGACTTAATTCTCCACAATACTGCCAATTTCTGCAGGCTGTAAGGCAGATGTCTGACCACTTCCTACTCTTGGTTAAACACCAGAAGGCAACATTTTACAAATCTCTCTCCCTTTGTGTCATTGTGTGCAAGATAAGCAAAGCAATTGGTAAAAATGCTTGTTTGGATGATGCGCCTTTGTTCAGGTCTTTCAGTGCTCCCAGGAAACCCTGCTGTCTGAGCAATGCTGTTTTGTTTTTATTCCATTATTTTAAACATTCTGAGACATTTCAAGCCCAGAATGAGCTGCAAGGTCGGCTTCTTAAGGCTGAGGGTGAGACACACAGCTGGGCTGCCTGTGACTTGGTGACTCCGCAGCCAGAAAGTTCTGCCTTGACTGAGGCACCTTGCTGAGATATAAGGAGAAGCAGAAAGGAGAAATGGCAAAAGAAAGTGCAGGGTGAGTCTGTGCTGTCCTTGTTCCTTTCAGAGACAAATAAGAAAAGGCTTGAAAAGTGGGACATTTTCTCCCTCCTGAAAAACCTCCATGCTTTTCTTGTTTTTAACCTTTCAAGCATCAGAAAGGTCAAGACTTATCAGAACTGCTTTTCCTTGTGGAAATGCAAGGATATCTGTGTTACTGGCTGTATAGAGCAGACTGAGATTAGTCTTCAGAAAACTGATATTTTTTTTCCTCCAGCTGTCTATAGTAGTGTTGCATTAAACATGTACTAACAAAAGCCAGAATTTTAAACAGTCAAGGTATAATTTACTTTTTCTCTAAGTTATTTGTGCCATACCTTTATCATAGATATCATAATCCTATTAGTTCTTAAGCTGTCCAAAGGGTTTATCAGGAAAAAGAGTAGAGAAAAATGTGAATTTTTCATGTGCAATGTATCTGCTGAAAGGTTCTCTGAGAATATTTGTAAAATGAAAACACTCTCAGGCTTTCTTTATAGATAGAAGAATGCAAAGCAAAGACATGGGTTCATCTCCAAGAGCTGGGAAAAGCTGTGGTTAGGTCACCATGGAGGTATTTAAAATGTGTGTAGACAAGGTTCTTCAGGACACGGCTTAGTGGTGGAGTTGTCAGTAGTAGGTTTATCTTGGACCTGATCTTTTACAAGCTAAATGAGCCTATAATTCTAAGAGTTTTCTGATTTCTCCTGCTCTGGGTCTGTAGGCTACTTTCCATGTGCAGGAGGCACACAGCTGACGTAGTGAAAACCAAAAGCCTTTCAGCCTTCAAAAGGTGTTCATCTGAACAATAATACCTCTGATCCCACTGTTATTTCAAAAATCTTGGGTTCTACTTCCATGCAAAACGTACCAGGGCTGCCTCAGGGAATGGTGCCACAGGGATCCCCAGTGCTCCTTGAGCAGCACTGAACCAGGGTTTATCACAGACAGAAGCTGTTCAAGTGTGCACAAAACAGGCAGTGGGTGAGGGGGAAACACTGCACTGGGTTGTCCTCTAAAAGCTGCTCTAGCACGAGAGCCCTGGTTCTGAGCAAAGCTGTGTGAAATGTGCTCAGCTAAAATACAACCTTGCATAGGATGAGTGTTACACACTTGAGAACTTTGGTCAAAAAGGATCCCTTTGTCTGGAAGGTACCTGGCCTCAGTTCTGAGGAAATTTGTAACTAATAATGAAAAACTGCTTTTTTAAATTATTTTCCTTTTTTTTTGTTGGTTTTTGTTTGGTTTTTTGGTTGTTTTTTTTTTTTTTACTTGAAAATTGCTGAAGCTGAGGGAAGAGAAATCCACTGAGACAGAAGCCAAATAAAAAGGTTGTCGTTATTCTCATTTACTCTTTTACCCTCTCCTCATGATGCCGTGCCAGGACACACACTGAAAAGTTTACTGGGTCCTTGAATGAAGGAACACAAATCTCTTTCTGTACAATGAAAGCATGTATATTTCAGTGTGACACCAGGGAGAGATACTCAACAATGATGTCTTTTGTACAAATGAGAGGCTTTATTCAAGAGGAAGATAGCTGTGATGCTGATAAAAATAATAATTTGTAATTTCAATATGATGTTTTTCCTCCAAAAGACCTCACAAAGAAGGGCATTCTTATCCTATCATTATATCAAAAGGGAACTTTTACAACAAGTAATGAAGGAGCTAGTCTAAGATCAATTGGTAGATCGTGGGAGAGAAATAACCACTGTCCTGTTCCTGTCCCACATGTTTAGCCTGCTCTCGGAAACATGCTGAAGGTAAGAGTTGCTTCCTCCATCTGATCTTCTGAGGGAGGAATTAACACTCATGAAACTTCATCTTCTCCCTCTATTGCTGCTGCCACTCTTCATCCCCTCTTGCCAGCTTGGCATGTTTTCTCCAAATCCTGAGCAGCCTGGCCACAGACCCAGCATCACTGAAGAGGCAGGTTAGCTGTGGCTGTCACGGCTTTGCTACAGGGCAGTCAGTGCTCTGAGCAGTGAGCTGCACAAACCTCTTGCACACACACACAGGCACAGCTCACACCACACACACTGCAGCTCCCAGCAGCCTTGGTGTGTGGGAGTAGCCTGTCCTGTCCTCAGAACAGCAGATGTCCAGGCCATATGTCTCCTCTTTAAGAATCCTCTCAGCCTGGGACAGTCTTACAGCAAAGGCCTTGTGGTAAGGGCAAGGGCAGTGGGGAAATGCAATATCACCTTACAGGAGAAAATTCCAGTCTGGGAAAGAAATGCTCAGAGCAGCTGAATAAGAAACAGATATGTAGTCACTTGCCTAAGATTCAGGTGTTATTGCCATTGAATTCTGAGAAGCAATCTTATGATGTAATTTTTTAAAATTAAAAAACAGTTAAACCTGATCCATTTTTTATAAGGAAATATGTCTTTTTCACAAAGATGACTTCCAACTTATTGTACAGACATCATTAGGACACAGCAGCTACAGGAGCCTGGAAATCCAGGTGCTGAGCTTTGCAGTGCGATGTGCTGCAAGGGAACAGCCTGGCAATACTTTACACAACAAGTTCACCCAGTGATTATATGGAAGTAGCTTCCCCAGATGAAGCCTCATTATGGCAGATGCTGTGCATGCACAGGGAGAGAATCCTTTCCCAGATAGGTTATGGTCTCTCTAACATAGACACTTCAGAGCTTGAGGCATAATGAAAGGGGATGTGTTGTCAAGGATCTCAAGGGAGTTTTGTGGCAGAAGTGCAAACACAATAAATTCAGATCTGCTGAGCTAAAGCCTGTGTCCCGACTTCAAAAGCCCCTGCCTTTCACTGAGCAATTTCATACTACTTTCTTCTTGTTTCTCCTCTCCAGATGTTTACTGGAAACTACTGTGGCATGGTGGTTAGAGGTTCAGATCCACAAAGGAAATAAAAGAAACAAGAGAAACCTCCTTTGGGCTACTCTGGATAGAACTCAGGAGGTTTATGTATGGAAAATAGCTGTTTGCCAGGGATTTAGGGGTTGAAGGGAGACCTGTGAAGTGTCGTCACTAGGGCCAGGATAAATGGAACAAACCCCAGCACATCCTGAACAGATACATCATTTTCAACAGAGTTGTCAATTAGCACAGAGCAAGTCAGATGTCACTGGAGAAAAATCTCTGCTCTTCAGGGAAGGGAGGAATCTCTCCGTGACTCAAGAGCAGATGGTTTGGCAGCATCAGCACAGTCAGCTCCTAGCACTGGATTAACAAATTACAGAGAGGTATGCTCCCTCCTTTGTGTTTACAGCACATGACTGGAAAGAGGGCTCAGGAAAAAAGGATAATGTGAAAAGAACTCACATGTAATGTCAGCTGAGTGGCCAGAAAGGATTCTCATCAAAGCCAGCAGCCTGCAGCAAGATGCTGCCTGCCTCCCTCTAGCAGATACATATTTCTGTTGGGCATGGGACCCTACATTCTCACTCAAGATAAAACACAGCATTATGAAATGCTGATATTTCCCTCTCTCTAACTCTCAGTGCTTAAATTAATGCTGAGCCTGTGTCTTTAAGCCCCGTTTGTTTCTTCTCTTGTTGCCATAGCGTTTAGTGTTTCCATGTTTGAGATTTCCTTTTTTTTTTCCTTCCAGACATTACTCCATCAGCACAATTCCAGACCTGGGATTCCAGCCACTTTGGGCTAAAGGGAAACTCATTTTTGTTGCTATAAAAATATCAAGCCATGTAAATGCCTGTGGCTCAGATTTAGGTCCTGTGTCTAGGAATA